ATGGAGGGAAACTTTGTTGGTTGCCTGGGGTGGGAAGGGAGGGGAGGGAACACTGCAAAAAAAAAAAAAAAGAATTGACACATGTCACTTCAGTTTTTTGTATTTCATTATATATTAACTATATTTCAATAAAATGCAGTTTTTAAAAAAGGGTGGGTAACTAGGAGCCATAGTCTAAAAAAGAAAAAAGACTGACTTGAATCTAATGTTACATCATGACTTCTATTTCCCCATCATGATGTTTGAGCCTACCCCATGGGAAAGGCATTAAAAATAAATAAATAAATATTTTAAAAAATTCTGACTCATGAAGGAAGCACTGTGCCCACAGGGTCACCAGGTCTGCTTTTCAGAAGTCCATCACCAGGCCTTTCTTCTGAGACTCCTCCAGGTGGACTCAAAGCCCTGGGTTTTCCGTTAGCAGCTGAGGGCACTTGCACCACTCAGAGACTCTGGGAGAGGCATGTGGTTGTTACCAAACCAAACCAAACTCACTGCCATAGAGTCAGATCTGACTCAGAGTGACCCCTCCTTGGGTTTCCGAGGCAGTATTATTGTGGAAGTAGATTGCCCAACCTTCCTTCCAAGGAGTGGCTGGTGGGTTTGAACCACCAGCCTTCTGGTTAGCAGTCAAATGCCTTAGTCACTATGCTACCAGAGCTGTTGTTAGCTGCCATCAAATTGCCTCAACTAACAACACACAAGGCTCCACAGGTGGTAGGAGCACATGAGCTGCACTGGCTGGGAATTGAACCCAGATCTCCAACATGGATGGCAAGAACTCTACCACTGAACCGCCAGTGCACCCAGGAAAGGGTCATAGGGAGATCTAAAAGGTAACTGGTCCTGAGGCCAGTTGTTCTACTTCATACAGGCACTCCCACAAGATTATCAGGGCATTTCAGTCAACAGATGACAGGAGAGGTTGCTTTCCAGGCCAAGCAGGGCATATATCGCCATCAAAAGGGTCTTTTGGTTCTCTAGTCCTTTTCCCTCTTGTACTGAGCTGCTCAACATGTCAGCATCAAGGTGAACAAGCAGCCCAGGTCGTAGCAGTGTTTCTCAAAGGGAGTGCAACTGGCACTTGGAGTGGGACCATTCTTCATTATACAGGACAGGCCCACACATTGTAGAACATTTAGCATCTCTGGCCCCTGTTTGTTAATTGCCGGCTGTAGCCCCTAGTCACTGTGACAACCAAAATGCTCCCCCCCCACATTTCCAAAGTACCCCTTCTGGGGGCAAGGTTGCACAGTTAAGAACTAGGCATGCAAAGGCATTTGGAGTTTCCCAGGATCCTCCACTCACTCACGCAAAGCAGCAACTACCATGAGGCCTCATCTCCAGCTGAGAGGATGCTGGAGCTCTGCCAACAACAATGTCACAGGCAAGGAGTTACTTTAGGTGACCTAAACAACTCTTCTGAATCTGTTAATGGTTAGTTGATAGTGACAGGCTCACATATCAGGAGAAGGGGGAAACATTTTCTAAACGCAAGATGAGCAGTCTAACAGAAAATATACACTAACACTGCTGTCACACCCCTTCCCCCACCGCTAGTCAGGATTTGAAATCTGAGCCAGGTCCCTCCAGTGCCCATTTGACCCCCTGAGTGAATGAACACTGCCCCCAGCAGTCTCTGCCTTGCCTTGCTGGTTTAAGGGACTTCATGTCCCTGTGCTGCCATAGCAACCAAGAAACAACCTCTGTTCACAATGAAAAGGATGGTGCTGTGGCCCGATGCATAGATGCACACGGCCCGGTAACAGAGCAACCAGGACCAAGGACAACAAGGGCTCAGGCGAAGGGGAGAGTGAGGTGGCCTGGAGAGTAGACAGCCCAGGGCTTGAGGAGTCTGAGTATACAGTTTATTTTTTCTCCTGACAAAGACATACACTGTCTAAACTGTGTGGCTGGTTGTTATTAAGAAGCAGCTGTAAGAGGGAAAAACGTATTCAATAAAAGGCCCAGTGTTTGTGGTCTTCTCAAGCTGGCTGCTGAGCTTAGGAAATCTTGAGGTGTGACCAGTTTTCAGCCTTCAAAACCAAGATGAACTGCCCTTGAGAAGGGGTGGTCAGAGGTGAAACATGTTCACGCTCTCTCTCCTCAGCCGGGGACATGGGAAGTTGGTCCAGAACAAACAGAAGGTAGAAGTCTATTTTGAACCAGAGGTGAGTCTTACTTCTGAATAAAGACACATTTTGGGTGGGGGAAGAGTGCTCCATTTTTCGGTTGGGGATGAACAATGTGTGTCTTGGTTTGTGTTGGTAGTGAGCTGGGGTGTTGGGGGAAGGGTCACTGGTAGACCTTCCCTCCTCTTTCGTGAAACGCAAGGAAACAATATAGTTTGCCTGCCACACAGAAATTGCCCCTATAACCCTCTTCCTTCTCCTTGTGGACCTACTCACAGCCTTTTTTGCTTTAGACTGAAGGAGATTGCAGATTATCTGGAATTTGGTTTGTTTCAAGACCAAAATTTCCACATGGGTTCTAGGCAAGCTGGTGGTTGTTTGGTTTAGAAGTCATGCCCTGTAGTTGAAATGCTGTGTACGCACAAAATTTCCACATGGGTTCTAGGCAAGCTGGTGGTTGTTTGGTTTAGAAGTCATGCCCTGTAGTTGAAATGCTGTGTACGCACATTCATGCCATTTCAATGGCTTCCTTAAACTTTCTCCAATTCAATCCACACGAAATAGTTTATATAGCTCCCCTCTCGAAAAAAAAATCCCATTTTAGGTTTTAAAGGGGTGGCAAAATTCCTCGTTGTACTGGAATTTTATTTCATTGAATCCTGCCAGGAATAAGAAATCCATTGGGCCACTTTGAAAATTTTTGTGTCACACAGAGATTTCCATTGTCATGGTGGTTGTCATGATATTTGACCTTTGTTGTATTAAAAGACATATAAAGTTTCAAAGGACCTCTGTGGCCAATGGCATTTACTTACTTACAAGATATGTAACTACTTTATAGGCTCCTAAATAGCCAAATTAGGCAATGTTACATAGCATCTGGAATGTATAGAAATTTTCTCTGTGCACGGCCGGAGTGCTGGTGAGTTGAAATAGTTTTCTCCTATTTAAACTGCCAGCTACTCAAGGTCTGATTTCAAAGTTATCTGCTGCCCTTGATAATTCTGACTACTTACTTGCATACCAAGAAACTTTAACTGGCCTGTAACCTACATTCTACCCCATTTAAGCCCCCAGGCATGAATAGCTCTCCTTAACACTTGAGGTAAAATAGAACCAGCCCAGGCTTCTACTAATTTTGAAATGCGGAGAGGAGAACAAAATCAGTTGCTAAGAAAAGTGATTGTGTGCCTTGACACCATGTGGACAATTAAGGGGAAATCAGGACCTAAGTAAATGTCAAACACCCTATATAAGCTATTTTGACTATAAAAATCAAACCAGCTGCTGTTGAATTGATTCTGACTCAATGGCAACCCCATGTGTGCAGAGTACAACTGCTCCATAGGATTTTCAGAGCTCTAGGGAGCTCTGGTAGCATAGTGGCTAAGGCATTTGACTGCTAACCAGAGGGCTGGTGGTTCAAACCCAGCAGCCACTCCTCGGAAGGAAGGTTGGGCAATCCTACTTCCGTAGTGATACTGCCTCGGAAACCCAAGGAGGGGTCGCTATGAGTCAGGGCTGACTCGACGGCACATAACAACAACAAGTGGTTCTTAGGAGCTCTGGTAGCGTAGTGCCTAAGGCACTTGACTGCTAACCCAAAGGCTAGCGGTTCAAACCCTCCAGCCACTCCTCAGAAGGAAGATGGGGCAATCTACTTCTGTAGTGATACTGCCTCGGAAACCCAAGGAGGAGTCGCTATGAGTCAGGGCCGACTCAACGGCACATAACAACAACAGTGGTGTCATGCCTAAGGCAAGTGACTGCTAACCAGAAGGCTGGTGGTTCAAACCCACCAGCCACTCCTCAAAAGGAAGACTGGGCAATCTACTTCCCTAGTAACCCAAGGAGGGGTTGTTATGAGTCAGAGACAACTTGATGACAATGAGTTTGTTTTTGTTTTTGTTTTTAACCATTTGGAAGCAGATCACTAGGCTTTTCTTCCCAGGTGCTTCTGGATGGGTTTAAACCACCAACTTTTTGATTAGCTGTACCACACAGGGACTCCATTTGCTATAAATAGACCTCAAAGCAGATTGGTCAAGGCAGTTTCTTTTCCTTGCAGGATTACTTGAACTGGAAGTCCCCAGAAGATTATGTTCTGGTCCGCAAACCCCAGGATGAGAACAATGCCAACCAGGACTCCTGGAACCTCTTTCTTCCTAAAACATTCAGCACTAGAAAGGGTGCCCTAATCCTCTACTCAGAAGGTTTAGCTATATCAGCATGGACACCAGAAGAGAGAAGAAACGGCACCAGCCACCCCAAAGTCCACAGTAAGAGGTTGGGTCTCAAACTGCGTACCCTTCAAGACCTCAAAGAAGCCATCTTGGCATATGGAAGGAAAGAGGTAGGCAGAGCAACAATGCCTTGGGTTTGGAGAAGGTGCTGACCTGCCTGTCTAGAGATCCAATTGCAGCTTTCAGTGTAACTTCTCTGACCCTAGGCAAGGTACGAAACTCTCAGACCTTTTCTTACCTCTAAAATGGGCTCTGTCTGCCTCACACAGTTGTCATGAGGCTTAAATGATGTAATATATATGAAGAGGTTCTGAAAAACATAAAAGCCTATAAACAAAATGAAAAAAAAAAACACCTCACTGCCATCGAGTTGATTCTGACCCATAGCAACCCCCATTTGGTTTCCAAGATGGTAAGTCTTTATGGAAGTAGATTGCCCAGTCTTCCTTCTGAGGAGTGGCTGGTAGGTTTGAACTATCAGCCTTTTGGTTAGCAGTCAAATGCCTTAGGCACTACACCCCCAGAGCTCCTTATAAAAGGCTATAGTATCAACATTTTGTATCCTTTCAGTTACAGTAACACAAAGTCCTTTTCAGCATTCAGACAGACCCAGGCCAGATGTTTCATCAGAATCCTTGAAATCCTGTCTTGTAGCCCTATGTATCATCATCACACCTCTGATGTTCCTGGCTTTGTGGAAATGGGAGGGAGAACATTTTAAATATTTACCTTGAGCCCTTCAGTGTCTGCAGGATAAGTTAATGGCTTTTTCCATTCTGAATTTAATATTAAGGGAAAACCCCGTGTTCATTTTTCTGATTCATACTTTCTAATGTCCTGTGAGATGTGCGCATGGCCCCTGCTTTATATAACTGCTTGGCTGAGCCAAGGAGAGAGGCTGGGGAGTTGTGTCATTTTATGAAATTCAAGATTGTAGACAGTGGGTTACTCTCCAAAAGTCTTTGCTGGCTTCTCAGTGCCCACAGAATAAAGTGCTTAGCTTCTTATAACTAGCCCTTCACATGATGGCTTTCCCCTCCATTTCTAGTCACATCTCCCCCTTGTTCTTACCACCACTTCTAGCATGGACCCCTCAAGGCCCCACTCATCTGAATTCTCACCATTCTCCAATATTGTGTACCCTTTCATGACTTCAGGCTTTTGCACGTGCTTCTCCCAAGTAGCAAACTCCTGCTTATCCTTGAAGACACAACTCAATTGCCTTCTCCCTCTTCTCTAGGCAGAGATACCCCATTGTTCCCTCTGTGGACATTCCCAAATCTCATGCACTGCAATTTATCTCATTGCTCGTTTATTGACCTGATAGAATAGCATCTTCTTGAGGGTAGAAGGAACCATATCTAAATACTTTCCAGCAAATAGTGAGTACCCACAACTGTTTGTGGAATGAAAGAATCAATTGTGCACAATATTTAGATTATCTCCCAGTATCATTATAGGGCAATTTATCACTTACCCAAACTTAGGCAGACATTCTGAAAGGAAAGACTTTTCTGCCTCCTTCCCATCTTTCAAACTATAGAGAGGCTTGATGACCTTGCCCAAATGCCCAATTGTCCTTTGTCTTAGAATCATGAATTCATGAATTAAAAGAAACCAATTGTGGAATGCTTACTACTTTATAGCTATTATTATATTTAATCCTCACAATGATGCTAAGAGATGTGGTTATTCTCTTTATAGGTGAGTAAACTGAGGGTTCAGGGAAGTTAAGTGATGTACCCAAGGCTCAGAACTAGTAAATGACAGAAGCAAAATTCAATCCTATCGCTTTCTACCTGCCTACCCACATGCTCGGCACTATGTCCTATTGTCTCTGGATTCAGAAAGGACTCCAGAGGTCATTGTGTCAGGCTTTGGCTTGTTTGCCCTCAAATCCACTCCTTGCCCTTGCCCTGCTCTTCATCACAGAAGGTTATCCTCAGGCTGTAATTCCACAAACATCTGGGTCAACTGGCTTCTGACTGAATTTGCCAGTGGAAGACACTGGAAGGAGATTGGAGAGGGGAGAGAAGGGAAAAACCAAGGTATTTCTCCTCTCTCACTCTGCCTCGGGTGGCAAGAAGCATCTACATTTCCTCTGCAGTCAGCTCCCAACAGACAGGCTTACTATGGCTCCAGGTGCCTCTAGGTGACCTTAACAGCTCCTCCCTCTCTCTTCCTCTAGACTAGGAATGGTGCTGGTTTCCTGGTGTTGCTAAGCTCAGTGTTGCCTCAACATCTGTTTGGCATTTGAGCTCTTCAATCACCTATGTAACCAATTCCCTGAATTAAATAATTTCTGTTTTAAAATACATAGAGTGGTTTCTGTTTTCCTTGTTGGACACTGACTATCTAGACTAATTACTGCCCAGAGTCAGAACACTCCACAGCTTTCAGATGCTTGTCTGCATGGCTTAAATATTTCTGGAAAGAGGGATTTTATGATTTTATAAAGTAGATGAGTCTATTTTGGACAGCTTCAGTTTTTGTTAGACCTGGACTCAATGAAAACAAGAAGTTCCTGTCTTCCTGTGATATTCATCTACTTTATGACTTGTACCTTTGTACAAAGCAGAATACTGTAGTCTAACTTGAAATGGGTAGAATGGAAATGGGATGAAGAATTTGGAAAAGCAGAAAAAGATCTGGAAGACTAACAGGGCAAGAATTTAAGAAGATGAGAGAACACACATTAAAACAAGAGGAGAAGAGATTTGAGATTTTTAAAAAATGAACATTTCATAAGAGTAGAGCTTAGGTAAATAGAGAGCACCATCTGATAGTGACAACTACAGGTAGGCCAGAAACTTAAAAATAATAATACCCAGTGCTGGGAAGGATATGGGAAAATCAGCGGTCATACATTAGGAGCACAAATTTGCATGATAGTTCTGGAGGGCATTTTGGCAAAAGCCTAAAAAGGCATTGCAAAAAGGGCAAGAAGGCCACATATTCTGACCTCCTAGAACCCCACAAGAGGAAGGCAGAATCACTATCAATAGCCCAAGGCCTATTACTGCAAGGCCAGACATGCTGCCTCCCTCCAGCCCTTTCACCAACCGCTCCTCCCAAAGCACCACCACCTCTCTCCTGGGTTCGATGATTCACTGCAGTGGCCACACAGAACTCACAGATTATGGGGTTTATTAGGGAAGCACCAGGTTACAATTCAAGTTCAGGAAAAACGCTCAATCTCTCTCCCAGCCCACTGTCTCTCTGCCAAGTCGCTCACAGTCTCTCCCCCAGCAGTGCATGTCCCTCGGTGTCTTACTCAGCAACTCGTGTCTTTTGCATCTCTTTCCCAGCAGCAGTGTCTCTTTCAGTAGCGCATCTCTTTCAGCAGGTCTTCCTCAACCAGCAGTCAGAGAGTTCTGCCTCTAGGAGGCCTTCTTTTGAGCTTGAAGGAGTAGCCAAACCAACCAATCATAACAACAGAATTCTAAGCACCTGAGAGTGAGCCTCCCATAACATTGTGTTGTGCTACGCCCAACAGAAATCACCCACATGGATAACATTTACAATCAGGAGCTCCTTAGTTGCTCATTCCACCACTGAGTTTACAATGATTTATGTGTAGAAAAGCCATACTAAGTAATTTACTACACTGCAAGCATAGTGATCCCTCTCAAGTCAACATTCTACCTTTAGGAATTTGCCCTAGAAAATAATCAGACATGTGCCCAAAGATTTATGCACAAGAATGTCTATTACAAGGTTGTTTATGCTACACAGTGAAAACATCAACTGTTCAACAATGGAACACTGATGAAATAAATTATGGTACAGTCATATAATGGATTTTAGGGCAGCCCATAAAGTCATATGTTAATCGTGAATAATGGGAGAAAATATTTACAGTATATGTTTAAAGCAGGTTACAAAAATTGTTGTTGTTGTTGTTATGTGCCATCGAGTCGGCCCCAACTCATAGCAACCCCTCCTTGGGTTTCCGAGGCAGTATCACTACGGAAGTAGGATTGCCCAACCTTCCTTCCGAGGAGTGGCTGATGGGTTTGAACCACCAGCCTTCTAGTTAGCAGTCAAGTGCTTTAGCCACTATGCTACCAGAGCTCCTACAAAAACAATATTCATATAATAAAAACACCAATTTTCACTATTTATTTATTTATTTTTGGTATTTACTATGTTCCTTGACTATTGTAAGTGTTTCCATGTATTTATTTTACTTTCTAACAATCTTGTGGGTAGGTGCTATGATTATCCCATTTTAAAGGTGAGGGAAATAAAGAAAAGAGTTTGAGTAATTTACTAAGGCACATGACTGCTAACCAGAAGGCTGGTGGTTCAAACCCACCAGCCACTCCTCGGAAGGAAGATGGGGCAATCTACTTCCGTAGTGATACTGCCTTGGAAACCTAAGGAGGGGTCGCTATGAGTCGGGTCCAACTTGACGGCACACACGACAAAATACAGCCAAGTAGGTAATTGTGCCACAATTCAAAACCAGGCAATACAGAAAACATGCCTCTCAATCGTCCCAATTTTAAAAAAATTAATTATGCATTAGCAGAACAATATAGTCCAAACTTTTAATTATGGATAGTAGGATTATAAATTATAATTGTGTTTGTACTTTTCTTTTTCATATTTTTAAAAGCCATGGAATTTTAAAAATAAAAGTCTATGGATTAGAAGGAAGTTGCGAGCAAAAGGGAGAGGTTGACCTTAGCCACGTGGGAGGATCAGGATGGGAAAAGAAATGGCAAACAGTGCTGTAACTGAGCCCACCAATATTATGCCATCTGTTCTTCAAGGTCAGCATTTCTTTGCCCCAAAAGTATAGTTCAAGAGTTAAAAACGTCACACTCAAAGTAAAAGAGCCAGAATGGGGAGCACAGAAAAGGATAGAGGGGCATTAAGTGATAAAGTGGTGCTGCTCAGAGAGGGGTCTTTTCTCTAGCGGCTGACCCATGAATCGGGGAAACCATACATAACTCAGGCCCTCTCAGATCTATGAGAACTGAGGCTGTCCCAGGAAGGTGCAATTAAATGTTTAAAATAACTCACATCATCTCCAGTTCTACATATGGACCTAATGACACAAATGTGGCAGTCCAGCTGAGTTTTACAGTGCTACATACACCTA